GAGAGAGAGAGAGAGAGAGAGAGAGAGAGAGAGAGAGTTGTTTTTCTAAATAATCAAGTGCCAAAATTATCCCATGAAATTTATAGAAACATATTAGACGTATCACGTTAAATAATCACGTTAAATCTGTAGAAAAAATATTCGACGCAATAATTTACTACACTTCGACATCGGCTGCACCAATTTTAGAAAAGTCAAACTACAGAAGGAACGCGAATCAGAATAGACTTGAATCACGAGTGTGTCTCTCATTCTGTCTTGGGACCACTCTGAAAATTATCGATTTGCTCCACTTGTCTCCCGTTAGCGCAGGCTTAAAGGAAGAAGATACAAAGGAGAACGAAAACGATTCGTGCGCTTCGACAATCAGCTTCGAGGAAGCCGAAGTCAGTTGTGTTTAAATATCGAATGTACACGGGGTGAGTCACTCACAATGATCCAGAATAACCTTAGGTATGATAGAATGTAATTAATAATAATTATTCTTATTGAACATGAAAATTATATATGCGTACAATTTCAAAATGTCGATTATCAATAATGTTATTGACAGTATATTCAAAAGCCCTCGCGTTCAAAGCCCGCATTCAAAACCATACAACAAACATTTAATAGATTTCGTTTGCAGTGTCAACATGTCGCAAAAATCAAATGAAATCATAAAATGATAATTATTTCATCATTTTACACTTTTTATTTTGTAAAATTTAATAGTTGTATTAATTTTTGTTAATTTCTATAAAATCTCCCTGCGAAGCTAAATAAACATATTTATTATAAAAACGTTTAATTATCAATTATCATTTAAAGATCAATTTATTTCGATTTATTCGAAGAATAACATCTTAATATTCTAGCTAGCGTTAATGCTATTTTATTACCCTCCAGACTTTTCCAGCTTATTATTTATGTGATAAGAAATAGTTAATGAAGTAGAAACAAAAAATAGGTACTATTTTTTTTCTTTGGTGCAGTCCGACGCGACGACGCCTAGCGTTGCAATAAAACCACACAACCGTCTCGGCAAAGATACCCATGACTCGTACACGACAAAGCTGTCGTATATTGCAACGCGAAACGCTATTAATACATTCGGCAGCATATTGCACACATATTTACGAAATATGTTATAATATGTGCATGCGTTATGGTGCGTTTGGTCAATATTAGTCATTTGACAAATATGGATTTGCTGTACCACGTAATTTCTCATGAAATATGTATAAACATATGCATTAAAACCACCTGTCATAATACCGTATTCTCTATCGCTAATTTCGAACCAAGCCTCAACAATAATTATTTTTTAATTCTTCATAATAACTGAGATTAAATATGCTTTCCAGTTTATTTTTGGTACATATAAATTTAATGTATATTCCAAATTATAAATTCAGTGTATTTTCGAGTATTAAAATATTATTTTCTATAAACAAACTTATTCGTTTTTTTTTCGTAAATATGAGTCTTAATAAAAAAAAAGTGCAGAAAAGTAACTTCGCAGAAAAGTGTGCGAAAACAAAAATTGCATGACTAATTCGATTTTAATAAGAACTACTTTGCTATGTTATTTACTCTTCGATTTTATTTGACGAAAGTAACTTCGCGAAATAGGATCTTATTCCGAATGCGCAGGTTGCGAGGAGAGTGCATCTTCGTTTTATTAAACGCACGGATGTCGGCGGGAAGTGAGGATTACTCATGCACACGCACTGGCCGTAAGCCAATTCTACACGAGATGCGACTCATTAAGTCGCTGTCGCAACCAATATATCGTGTTCAAGCGCCGCTCGTTGCTCTCGTTATAATACGTTACAGTACCTATAATACGGGACGATAAGACTTGTCATCCTTTACTTTCAGATTGTTACATTTCTAAGCACTAAAGCAAATTTGAAAGAATCCAATGCAAAAGCACATTTAAGCCTCGGTTATTTTCATCCTATTCAATATCCTTCTAATATTTTTCTGAGATCCAAACTCTCGTAATGACAATCAGTATAATTTAATTTGAACTTATCCAAAAGTATAATCCAGGATTTAAAAAATAAAATATGATATTTTTCACCGCCGTATTTTTCTCCGTACAATCCATTCATTTCGTAATTAACCATAGAGATAATTTTCATATTTGTACAACAAAATCTGATAATATTTGACATAGTAAACTGTCGCATTTATTATCACGGATAGATATAGGGATCATTTTCGACATCAAAGCTTAAATTCGGTGAAATTAAATCGCCTTTGTATCGCTGTTTCTATTCAATTTAATTCTCAATAATATGGATATACTTTGTGTCAGATATTATGTCGCAAATAAATATAAAAATAATTACCGTACATGTACAGTTACGAAATTTAAACTAATCGAAATTACATCGGCTTGAATTCCTGATTCAATTTCAGTCGATTTTCGGCACTACATATACGCGAAATTGTATTTTCACGTCAATTGTCGCGACTCCACTGCCATGAATAAACACGAATATCATTTTCGCACGTGCATATCACCGTGAACATTCAACCTATCAAAATTATATCATCGTTAAATGATCTGGGTGGAAATTGCATTGATTACCTTTCATCGATGTCACCTGCTGCGAGCCATAGTTCCTCGCGCACGGGAACAGAAACGGGGAAGACGACCTCGACCTTCGACCGCGAACGGACGGAACGGATCACAGATCGTTCAACAGATCGGCGATCGCTTTCGAGACGGGGCGACGGAAACGTTGTCGCGCGATGCACCGTCGCGGATACACACGTGGTTTCGCGAATTTCGGGGTCATAACAAAACGACGACTTCGCCGGCCGGCCACACGGCCATCTTGCTACTCCTATCGGTCTTTCTTGCTCTATCTCTCTCTCTTTTTCACTTCCTCCCTTCTTCTCTTTCGCACTTTCACCCTTTCTCTGCCCCTCTCTCTCGAAACACCGACGGATACCGACAGACACCGACGCATCTGCAGTTAATCGATATTTCACCCTTCTCGTGGTGATATCGGTAACAAAGCTATCCATTTATCCATTTTTACGCGCGATTTTAATTAGTAGAGAAAGTGTAGGAAGAGAGAGAGATCAATCTTAGTAAGTTAAAAAACTTGCCAAGTAAAATAAGAAACAAAACTATACTTATGTGTGTGTGTGTGTGTAATTATGAGAAGTAATTTTCGTTAATCAAATTATTATTGGTTTTAATATATTTCCTAAACAATGCTGGACTCCTAATTTTATCTAAAATAAATTTTAATTTTTCTTACACTGTTCCGTTTCTTATTCTTTTTCTTCTCCAACAAGAAATTTCTGTATTATTTTAATAAATTATTCCATTTCGTTATTCAAAACCTTAACATTGCAATAAATAGTTGAAAACAAGATCCAAGCTTTAAAACTCCAAGCAGACAAAATTTAACATTAAAAAGTTTGAAGAGGAGTTTTACAAAAACGAATTAACGCACTTAATTCAATAGATTATCGATCTGATGCAATCTTTAATTATAATAAAGAGAAACATGGATACAAATGTCTGTAAGGTTGCTTGGTTTCCGATATTGACATCCACATGGATCGTCCTTTTCTTTATCGCACATGACTGCGTTATCAAAAGATACTTTCATATTTTTCTAAACTTTCTTCTTATATTCTAAATTTTTATATTTTACGAATTTTCTGCATTATATCATATTTTTTAATTAAAAAATTTATATTATTTCTTATTTTTGTAACTTTATACTGCACAAAATAATAAGAAAGTAATTATAGAAAATTTTATTCTATATTATAAAATATATTACGTTCTTTTTAGAGTTTTGTTATACGCGTGAAGTTAGCCCCTCAATATTAAAAATAATTAAGTTATTTTACATGATTCGATTGCACATTGTTTGCACATAATTGCACTTCTTTTATTTTCGTTTGCACACCTCTAGCAAAAAAATTATTTTTAAAAAATTTGGGGAGCCAATTTCACATTTTGAATAATTCCTTTTCCAGAGATGTGCAAACGAATATTCAAACTGTATGTAAATGTACAAACGAAAATCTATAGATTGAGCTCGTTGCAAAAAGATTTTCGCGAAATTTGATCATTTTTTAATGTGAAGTTAGCCCCCGCAAATTTTTTTTTAAATAACTTTTTTTCTAGAGGTGTGCAAACGAAAATTCAAACTGTATGGAAATGTACAAATAAAAATCTATGGGTTGAGCTCGTTGCAAAAAGATTTTCGCGAAATTTGACCATTTTTGAATGTGAAGTTAGCCCCCGCAAATTTTTTTTTAATAACTTTTTTACTAGAGGTGTGCAAATAAGAGAAGTGCAATCATGTGCAAACAATCGAATCATGTAAAATAACTTAATTATTTCTAATATTAGGGGGCTAACTTCACGCGTATTTTTATGTTATATTTTCACGCTACATTTTATACCGAGGATATCATCAGTTGCGAAAATTTAGCAGTTCGCCGTTGCTCCCGGCTGGTAAACCGTGCTTGTGGGGTTTGCACCCCTTACGAAGGGATGTTTTCGTGTCCGTCGGTAAAGCTAGATGTACGAGGGTAAGAAACGCGCGGAGTCCTAGAAACGGGTTGTCGGTAAAAGAACATTGTGCCAGTATATGGTATAGAACAGGGGTAAACAACCCCAAAGAAAGAATACGAGAATTGATAAGGGTGAACCGGAATCCACCCCGAAATCTATTCTCGTACCGCTAAATATATCTAGGTGGAGTAGAGAGATCAACTTGGGTAAGGAAAATATATAACAAAATACATGTACTATCCATTAATATGCAATTAGATCAAAGACATAAATGTAGATATTAGATTTAATATAGTAAAATAAAACTCGAGTCTATCTCTCTGCCATTCTCGTATTTTGTGTGCATATTTTTAGTCCAATAATATCAATATTGATGTCTGCTTACCTTATCTTCCGCTTCATCCGCCCTGCCCTCCGCTTCTAATACCCGCTGCTCGAGTTCAGAAAGCTGGAACAAAAAGCAGGTTCATATTTTAACGATAGATCACTTCGTGTAAGATTAATGACGCACGGCGAAATAAACGATCGCTTTAACCATAATTCCACCCGTATTATTAACGTAAAGTCTCAAGTGATATAATTTTGAGACACGTATGCTTTTCTTTCATTAGTCATTATTCAATTAGTCGCAAAATTTCTATCAAGTTTTACAAACAACTTTGCTGACAAAAACTTATTCGCGTAAATATAAGGAGAATTATTCGCAAGCGTTTCTCTCTCCGCCCCTGGTGTTATCGAGGCAACTGATAAGGGCCTTTAATATCTTGGTAACGTGTGACAGATTCACGATATTCTTGGGGTAAGACATTCTCAAGAAAGTTCGACGAACGCACAAGTAGTTCGATGTCATCTAATTTCGTGAGGGAAAGTTTCGTCAAACTCAGTTAAGTCCATGGACGATGCACACTGATATCTCGATGACAGTTTAATGGGTAATAAAGCTAAATCGGACTGGGAGGATCCGCTTAATCTAACCGAGATTGATACGCCTGTGTCAGCGACTGTGACTCCTCAGCGCAAAAATCTCATTAAAAACATGCAGAATGTCTCGCGATTCGCAATTTTAATTTTAATAATAGATTCTTTGATTAATTTCAAGTTGTTTTTTTCTAATAATCCTATTTAGCAGCTGTAATTGAGCTTACATTGTAACATAAGCCTTTTCATAATAATAACATAGAATTATCAATATTAATCAATACGGAGTAATTAGGGCGCGGAAATTTGAGGTTTCGCGGTAAACCTTCCTAGTCGTCTATGCGCATACGTTACCGCTTAATCTAAACAAAGTTTCCAATTTGCTATTCACGTTGTGAGGAAAATTGATTAGCCTAAATGTATCCCGGAACATTTTTGATAATTTAGAATTTATCTCCGCGTCTCAAATACAAACTTCTTTGAAATACGTTTTTACGCGGTACTTTGCTCAGCCGTGATAGCACCAAGCAACGAGTGATCATCAGTTCCGCCGCAATAACAAGAGCAGCCGGCGAATATAAGGAATTCGTGTTCCTCCTCCGCACGCTCGGGCGAATAAAGCGGCCGTGTAGCGTGATCTCGTCTTTTTCGAGGAAGATGGATCGGTAGGAGGAAGGCGCGAGCTGCAGCGAGGCGCGCGAGGGGCCGGGATCTCATCAAGAAAGGCGCAGTTAGCAGCATCTGGTGTCGGAGAGAAAAGAAAAAGGCAAAGGGCGCGAGAGACGAAAGGGAGAAGCGCGGAGAGAAGCTGAAGAGAAACGTAGAAACGTTCCTCCTAATGCGGAGGGGAAAATGCGCGCAGTTTCTCGGCACGTTACACTCTCGACACGCTGCTGCCAGAAAGGGAAATCTGCGACGTGGAGAAAGAGAGAGAGAGAGAGAGAGGGGGGAGGAAAGGTGGACGACGAAAGGAGAACGACTGATACATCAGCCGCGGGGAAAATGCGCCACCAGGATCTCTCAAACTGTCGTCAGTGCGTAAATTTCGTTTCTTACGATGCCGAGATGACACCGGAAGATGTTCAACTAATCCTGCCGAAACCTGTATACCTTCTATTCGTATTCTATTATGTGTTTCACCTGCATTTGGCCCTTTAACTTCGTAACTCGCAATCTTTCGAATACTGACAGAATTTAGAATTTCCACTACTTTTATGTAATAATAATATTAGATCCTCAACACGTTGATATAAAAAAGAAACTCCATTTAGAAATGAAATAACGACTACTTTAGCCGCAGAAGGGATGTTCGCAACGTTGTATTTCATAAAAAAACATTTTTTTAGGGTGGAAAGGAAGGGTGCGATGAGTTGATAACTTTTTTCTATGGCCAGCGGGGTTGCTTATAACTTGTCGAGGCCCGCGCATAAAGCACGGAGGGCGAAAGTCGTGGAACGATAACACACCCTTTCACGTTTCGATCGTCGGAAGACTCTGTGCGCGCGCGTCGGAACGTCGTCGCGAGGATTGGCTCGTTAATGTTATCGGTGGCTCGCGTGACGCGAAACATAGAAGCCGGTACTTTCTTGAATTTCGTTCGCTTTGTGCCGAGGAAAATTTATGGCCGGCTCCCGATGCTGTCGCGTGCGGCAAAGAGAATCACGGAAAGCACAGAGAAGAAAAAAGAAGCGAGGCAGGAAAAAGAACGCCAAGTCCGACTTATTCTTTTTTCAGGAGACAGGAAAAAAACGTACATGTGGAAATTATTTCCGGTTACGTGATTTGTGCGCTCTTTCTTTCTTTTGACACGCTTCTACATTGTTATTAAATACGGTTGCGATGGCAGCCCTGCAGGAAATACATAAATTAGAGAGAAGAGAGATACGAATCATCGTGATGCATTTTGCAAAGATACGGCCGTCTAATCCTTAAATCCGGAAATTGGCTTCGCAATCGTTGAAATGCTCTTCTTGTTCCTTTTTTAATCTTTTTTTATTGTCAAGAGGAGCAATCTTGAGACCGATAAGCTTCTTATTCGTATCAAGATATGTGAACTTCTCTGTATTATATTTATCATTTCGATGCAATAGGATTTGCCAAGTTAATCGAATCTTTTCTCTTATACATTTCCGCCTAGCACATCAATTTTTTTGTATTTCAAACAGTCAATTATTACATTAGATTATATTAACATTTTTTTATTAATAAATTAAACAAAAAGTCTATTATTTTTATCAATGAAAATTTTGTTACAAAACTGTTTACAAAACTGATTAATTTTTCTTTCTTGCAACAATTTGATTCAATTCGTTTTCCTGTTACGCAGAGATTTCGCTGTATCGAGTACTCGACTTACTCTCAGTACGCGAGAAGAGTAATGGCCGGTGGAATTAGCTCGACGAGGACGAGGACGTATAACCGTTAGCACCTCGTGCGTTTCTTCTTCTGCGGTACAACGGGCCGAGCGCACGACCCTTATTTATAACGAAATCCTGGGGTCGAAAAGCCGGATCGCTCTCCCGTGCCTTGTATATTAACTATGCCAACCCCTAGAAAAGGGGTACAAACGTACGGACCGTTTCGCCGCAAGGGTCATGAGCAAAGGAGGAGAATGACGTCGGTATGGCAAAACTGAGATTCGCCATTGATCCACATTTCATTATATTAACCCTTATTTAGTACTCCATCAACATTATTAATCGTTATGAGATATGAATTATAATATCATGCTTATTATAACCGTCTGGTCGAATTTGAATCCATTTGTAACTGTTACTGAATGATAAAGAGCAATTTTAAAGTGTTAATTTTAGAAAATGTATAATAAAAAGAAGATGGAATAAATAATTTGGAGTATCTTTTGACTAAAATTACATATAACATTTATACAATTAAACTCCAATAATCTTTAACAAATTTCGTTAATTTTACGTTTATTATATTGTGTTTTAAATTTAATATATTTTCTATTGTGTTAATGAAAATATGATATTTTAACTTTATAAGAGCATTCTATAAAAAGAAAACAAAACATATTTTCCAAAATTACTATTTTGAGTGTAAAAATATAATATTTAGCCGACAAATCCATGTCCTTCCATTCGTAAGATACCGGATGTTCAAAAGGAGAAACGGAATACCGTCTGATCGTTCGGCCAAGCTAATTCTCATATCTCTTTATTATCGCAGTCGTAACGCCGCCGCCTGTCATTGTCACGTAACATTGTCGCGGGCGTTAGTACGATCGTCGTTATCGTTATTGCACCCGCCAGTGCATCCTACTGCAAGAGCGAAACGCGTGCCTATGTGTCCAATTCCCAGCGCAATCCGTGTAACTGCGACATTTATACGCGGGACGACCGATAGAAGTGCCGAGCCGGCCGGTACACGTGCGCTATGTACACAGGATACCATCGTTGCCGTGGTCGCCGTCGTCACCTGAATCATCGTTAGAAAGGTGCGTGATTTTCAGCTTACAGTCGCCTTACAATCTGCTTACACGACATGATTTTTGTCCACCAAATGCTGACGCGATCGGTTTAACTCAATTTATCAGGTGAAGTTTACAAGCGTGTAACGTATGGTTTTTGAAGAATAAAAAAAAAATAACAGCAAAAAGGCTGTAAAGCAAAAGCGTGGATGTCGGGATGCAAAAGATATTACAAATTAAAATAGAGTAAACAACTAATTAAAACAAAGTCTTTTACTCTCTTTTAATTTGTAATAACTCTTGCGCTTCGACATCTGCAATTTTTATTCAAAGTTTACAAGCTTCATGTTATTTTATAATAATATAACAGATACTTCTGTTGTTTAAACTCCTAAAACTTTCTTACTTTGATAAAAAATTTCTTTTGCTTATCGCTTTGCTTCAACGTTTAAGCAGAATATCATTTTCTCGACGCGGTTCTAAAATCATTTTAATATGATAAGCTAAAATAAGCTCATTTGAATGTATTTGGGTTAAGTGTTTGTATGTTGAGAGTGCACAGTCGTAAAAACTTGGAAACCAGTGACTTAGAAAGACACAAGTGATTCGGAACTTGTTTTGATGCGCGCAGTAACGGGCGCCCAAATCGTACCACTTTACGACTTTCTCTTGCGATTGATGAGAGGAGAGGAAGAGAAAAGAAGTTTGAGAGAAATAAACGGGAGGCATCCTGACAAAACGAGAGAACGTTTCTAAGAGTGAGATCAGGTTCGGATCTTCTATAAGGCACCGTCCTCGCGGCTGCAAAATTTTTGGAGCTTGCAAAGACAGGAAACAGTAAAGAGTAGAAAACAGCGAAGAATTATATATCTATATCTGTCACATATCCATTATATCCTGCATTTCGATATAAAAGTATCTTAAATCTAAGAAACTATCGGAGCTTGGAAAGAAAAACAGAATTTTCTTTAAAAAATAAAAAACGCGGGAATTATGAAATGGAGAAACGATGCAACCAAACCTGTGACCAGGTGTTATATTTGTTATGTCCCCTATATTGCATATTACAATTCGAAATTGAAGTATCCAGAATCTACGAG